GTTATTCAACAACAATGGTAACGATTGAAAACAGATATTCTGCACTTAACAACAGTCAACAAAACAATACGTACAAATAGTAAGGCGCTAAGCAAAAAAAATGGTGAACATCAGACAATCTTTAGTTTGGTAAAGTTTTGGCGTTGACAAATTGTCTAAGTTAACAAACAATAACCGTCATCAAAAGAATTCAAAATGTTCAAGAACTATTCCATATTTTTCCTCATTCACCCAATTAAATAACTGTATCAATGACTACAATTATTAATTTAGCGCCCTGTAATCAGCAACCATTTAATTGCCTTCACAAGTAATTATTAGTCCTCTTCTCTTTTTTTTTCCTTCTAATTACAATTCACTGCACAGTTAAACAACGATCATTCAAAAAAGACAAATATAAAAGTAGCAAGAAAAAATGTTTGATCAACAATTTGAAATTGCAACAATAACAATAAACATCAACAATCATATCACAGTTTACGGCAAATACAAACGACGATTAAAGATCATCAGCAAAAAAAATATGCATTAACGTATCGGTCAATTTTGGTGGTTAGCATTACCATATATAAACATTTATATTCCCAACTAAACAATAGAAAAATAAAAAAATTGTTTTTTTTTTTTTTTCACTGTATACAGCTTAGTTTTTTTCTTTCACATTAAAAACCTATTCATCAATTCAATAATATCCAACTGTTTGAAGCTTAACCGCTAAATTTAATGTATCCAATAATAAAGAGTATTATAAGTGAAAAAAATTACAAAAAAAAAAAATAATAATAATAATAGTAAATAAAAGAAAAATAAAGATAAAAATAGAAGATTAAGGCAGTTTTTTTTTTCCTCTCTGCTATATAAACCATCGTTCAATGCCCATCAAATTAGTGAGAAACCTTTTAAATAATGAGTTATCTTAAAAGAAAAAAAAAAGCAAAACTTCAACTTTAAATTTTAGCATTACTTATTCAAGACAAAAGATCACAATTATCATTGAAAACAGAAAATGATAAATAATGGTTCAAAAAAGAAATTTTCAAAAGCATCAAATGAAACAAAATTTCTTTAATAAATTATTTAACGCACCAATTTTTGCATCCAATTTTTTTGTGCCTACTCATAATTAGTTGTTTTACGACAAGAAGAAAAGAAAATGCTCAAATGATTTAATAACTTTTATCCATACATGAAAAAAAAAAAATTACACTCAGAATTTTCTCTCTTTTTTTTTTATTGCATTTCACTCTCAATATTCTCTGTTTTACCCAGTTTTTAAACAGACCATTAATCCAAAAATAACAACAAAAAAAA